GTCTCCTCAGCAATGGAGGTTGGTGCATAAACTTGGATTATTGTGATGTTGAAAGGTCTGCCTTGGATACGTATTGACATCATTCTATCATTTTTTAGATTATATCCCATTACGGCTTTCCCCACTCTTTTGTTGACTATGAAGGCTACTCCATTCCTTCTACGGGATTCTTGCCCACAATAGTAGATATGATAATCATCTGAGCTGAATTCGCCCATTCCTGTCCATTTTAGTTCACTGATGCCCAGGATGTCGATGTTTATTCTTGCCATCTCCTGTTTGACCACCTCCCGCTTCCTGAGGTTCATAGATCTTACATTCCAGGTTCCTATGCAGTATTGTTCTTTGCAGCATCGGACTTTCCTTTCACTTCCAGGCACATCCACAGCTGAGCGTCCTTTCGGCTTTGGCCCAACCACATCATTAGCTCTGGAGTTACTTGTACTTGTCCTCCGCTCTTCCTCAGTAGCATGTTGGATGCCTTTCGACCTGAGGGGCCCATCTTCCAGCGTCATATCTTTTAGCCTTTTGTTTCTGATCATGGGGCGTTCTTGGCAAAGATACTGGAGTGGCATTGCCATTTCCTACTCCAGGTGGATTGCGTTTAGTCGGAACTCTCCACTATGTCCTGTCCATCTTGGGTGTCCCTGCACGGCATAGCCCATATCTTCTCTGAGTTACTCAAGCCCCTTCGCCACGACAAGGCAGCATCTGGACACCCATGTGCATTTATTTCTGGCTTCCTTGGGAGACAGACTTGGAAAGGTCAGAGAGAGGTTTTTGCTTCCCTCCCCCTGCAACTCCTTGTGCTGCATTATGTAACCTTACCTCATGATGATGATCATCATCATCTTAAAACTGCAGATCTGGAAGGGACCCTATGGATCATTGGGTCCAGCTGCTGTCAAGGAGGCAAGGATTGAACTCCCAGCCTCTGGCTCCACAACCAGATACCTAAACCGCTGAGCTATCCAGAGGTTCATGTTCTGGATGTGACTAGTTTAGAAAGAGCCCCTGTGAATGGGATTGCACTCTCAGCCTTTTTCCCTCACCGTGGCCCCAAAATGAAAGAATTCCATAGTGTACAATTCAGTTTGAGATTTCTATTTCTATATACTTTCCTTCAATAACAAGAAAATGTCTGTCTGTCTGTCTGTCTGTCTGTCTGTCTGTCTGTCTGTCTGTCTGTCTGTCTGTCTGTCTGTCTAAAAGCTGTAATGCCAACAGTCTGGAATCTTCCTCCTCATAGCATCTGCTCGACACCTACTTACTGAGTTTCTGGTAACACACAAATGCCTGCATTTTTTTTTCCTTTTGAGACTGAAAATTGAAAAGTCATTGATGAATGTATTTAGAATGCCGTTCTGTTTCGTGCTTTTTTGACCATTTTCATTACTGATGTTTAAAATTAATGTTCCAATGCTGTTCTACATTTTGTTAATTGTTAAAACACCTCAGGGATTTTCTTAAGTGAAAAAGAGGTTCATATGTTTTGATCAATTAATTAATTGAGCATGTAGTCCTAAGAGCAGTCCCTTGGGAATTCAGTCAGATGTACTGCTGTGTAAACAGAGACAGGAAAGCAATTTAAAGCGAAATGATCTCAATCAACTCTAGATTTCATACTTCACCCATTGAATGGACGATGGCATCTCTAGCTTTACATCCAGAAGCCCTTCGTGTATCACATCACATGTTTCAGGCTGACCAGAGCAAAGTTCTCCAAGTTCTCTGCAAGCATTACGTTCAATAACTTTACTCAAAAGATGTGTTATCTACAAAACAAATGAAGGATCAAGGGGTGTTGCTGTAGATATCAAAGCCCCAATAGACCTGAAAGGAAAGTCTAAAACTAACGGCATTGCAGAACAGCAGGTAGAAGGTGTTTCTTATGCCTGATACCAGCACAACACAAGCAAAGTATGTGTGCTTTGATAGATGATGTCAATGTGCTTTTTGAACAAATATAAAGAACTAAGAATTCAAGGCCTGCTACAAATCATATAAAGTAGGACCCCCCTTATCTGCAGGATCAGGATCAGTGATTCACTTATTCACAGTCTGAAAATATTAAAAGAAAAATCCTAGAAATGTCAATCTAAAGTTACCAGAACTGGCCACTAGAGAGAGCCAGAAACCATGCCATGTATAGTGTTTGCCACTGAAATAGCATTTGCTATAATTCATATTTTTCAACTTGGAACAATCTCCTGCAGATATGGGGGGTCCTATGCATCTCTGCTGTACGACAAAACTTTTTGAAACATAAGCACCCAAGCAAGCACTTAAAGTCACACACCTCTAAGTCCCACTAAAAGAGGGAGACTTAACTAGCAGAGTGCATGGAACACTGAAACAGTTCTGTGATGTGCTGTTTTAACCTCCCACTTCTCCAAGCAACAAGATAAGGAGGAGCCTTGTAAATCCGTTCCTTGTGACGAGAAGCTAAATCTGTCCGTCACAAAACTAGACCGTTCGCCTCTCCCTTCATCATCTTCCCACCTTAGTGTGTTCCTAATATGGAGGGCAAAGTGCAATGCATCATTTTTCAGAGGTAAACCATCTGTGGACGTGGTAGCGCTGCGGGCTAAACCGCAGAAGCCTGTGCTGCAGGGTCAGAAGACCAAGCAGTCATAAGATCGAATCCACGCGACGGAGTGAGCGCCCGTCACTTGTCCCAGCTCCCGCCAACCTAGCGGTTCGAAAGCATGCAAATGTGAGTAGATAAATAGGTACCATCTCGGTGGGAAGGTAAACAGCGTTCCGTGTCTAAGTCGCATTGGCCATGTGACCACGGAAGATTGTCTTCGGACAAAACGCTGGCTCTATGGCTTGGAAACGGGGATGAGCACCGCCCCCTAGAGTCGAACGCAACTGGACAAAAATTGTCAAAGGGAACCTTTACCTTTACCTTTAAACCATCTGTGTCTTATTGGAACCCAAATTGCTAACAACTCTTCAGGGGAATTAAGATTTTGGGGCAATTCTTTCACCAGTCCAGCTTTGATTAAGGAAAAGAGATGGGCCCAAACCTCCATTCAGAGGTTTGTGCCAATCTATGTGCACAGCTCCACATGCGCTGCATGCTCCCTTCCCTTGATCACTCACTCAGACAAGGAAGCTGGACAGGCAAACCTGTGCTCCTGCCAGGGACGGGTCAAACAGCTAAAGAGGAGAAGAGGAGCATATGTCAGCTGGTGAGCAGGGGATCTGGGGGCGGGGGGGGAGAGATGGGTGAAAGGTACATGCTGCACCTGTGGCGCTCTGAACCAAGGTTTGTGCCCATGTCTATTAAGGAATGCTACAAATCTGAATCAACTTAGTGTCATTCTGGATTGGGGCTTCCGGAGAACACCCCTGCAAATTATGGGAGATAGAGAAGGTGCTCTGAGTGTGACAGTCACACACAATCAACACTTAAGGAATTTTCTCCTTTAATGATGGGTTGTCTATAACATGCCAGTAATTTGCTCCTCGGCACAGAATGTTCACTCTTGCTTCATCCTGCTATACAATAAGGCCCCCATACTTTCACTTACTTTGTTTTTGTCCTCCATGGATGCTGCTTCCAATTCATAATCCGGGCGCCCATAAAAGCTGATCCTGAAGCGCCTGCCTTCACTATATGCACAGGATTTGACTTGGGAAAAGGGGAACTGCTTTCTGATGCTCCCTTTCTCAATGTTAAAAATCATCTTTGTGCTGAAATCAATCTGAAAACAGAGGGATTTTTTGGTAAAAAAAAAATTATGGACATGTTTTCCTCCCATATGGAGAATCAAAAGATTTCTTTTAAAAATTAATATGTGCATTCATTGACTGAAACTGTTTCCACAGCTTGAGCTCCTTGCATGTCTGTCTTCAACAGGATACTGCCCAACATTTCCAAGTTCTACTTCATCACAGGCTCAGAAGCATGGAATCCAGGTACTCTGGTTCTTGGGTATCCTTTGCTAAGCCAGATGTCGTAGATTTCCCCCCAGCCATGCTGAAAGGCAGATATGCCACTCCTTTGTTTCTTCTTTGATGCTCAAGTCTTCGCCGCTCTGCTGAGGTTAGATGGGAACTGAGCTAGTTCTCTATATGCTTAAAAGGGATAAGTGTGTTAACAAGTGAATGATCCTCCTTGAACATGAATTAGCCCTGTAGCCCAGAAAAGGGAAGGGGGAGGAAGAAAAAGAAAAAGCCATGTGGTCCTACTTAGAGATGGGCACAAACCTCTGGCTTGCCAGTTCAGCCTGGTTCATTGAGCGCTGCAAGAGGTGTTCAGCGGTTTGGTGCCCTGCCCTGCCCTGCTCTGGCAGGCACCCGCTAGGAGGCAGCATCCTAGCTTCTTTGCCTCCCCTCCTCCGGGCGTTGCCTCTGAGTGGGTGCTCACCTGTTGCAGCACGCAACGAGCCGGGCTGAACCGCCGAACCATCAGTTTCTGCCCATCTCTATTTCTGGTGTAAAATCTAATAACTAGGATTGTCACCTCTCTACTGTTTTAGAGCACTACAATCTCAAAAATGAGTTCGGGTTTGAGTCCTACAGGACTCTTGATCAGGCTAGGCATTAAAAGCAAAGGGAGAGCTGTATAAATCACCAGCAGCAGCTCTTCAGAGTGGTGAAGATGAGTTGCGGGAGAGCAGCAAATTTTGCTCACTCTAGAAGCCTGTCTCTCACTTTGTCTAATCACAGGACTGGATCTGGAGCGGAGGGCATCTCAGGGAGCCCAGGGCCAGCCACCCGTACAGCATTCTTCTCTAGAATCTTGCTGCCACCTGTTAACATCTGGAGCCTGAGGGGTGCACTTGATTCTGCCTAATGGTAGGGACAGCTGTGCTACTTAAATGCCTTCTGATAAAATACTGCTAGTCTCATATTTATCTACAGGATTTTCCCCCCTTCCATTCATGTGATTCTTCTAGAAAAGGACCAAGGAAGAAAGACAGCAGGGGGCCTCTTTCAAATAAAGAGTTTCCCTTTGCTTAGAGTTGTTTGTACAGCAGGATACAGTCACGGATGAAAACCACAGTCAGGAGTATAGACTGTCTCACTTCAGTGCACAGCATTGATTTCTAATCGTGTGTGGAAATGCAGTAAGTGGCTAAAGGAGAAAATACACTCCAGGCTGGACAGCTGAGAAGGTTCACTAAACCTGCCTACACACAGTGGTTTCCTGTGAGCTCGTGGTTAAACACTTCCCAGTTTCTGCAGCAAGGGAACTAAACAGCTAATGAAGCTGACGGCAAATGAATGTTTAAGTTAGTAAGCCATCAAGTAGAATTCAACAAGGGTGCAAGTAGGTAAATCTGTATAAAAAGATGCGCGCCAAAAGAGAACTGGAAAAAAATTGGTGTCTGTGTGTATGTATATTTCTGCAAGTGTTAGCTAATGGCTATTCCATAAACTCCCACTTTTTGGCATGCATGAACAAGTGCATACACTCAGGGCTGAAGATTTTTTTTTTGAAGGATCTGTGTATCAGCAATCAAATTTGCAAATTAAGCCTGTCTTTACCATCCAAGAACCAATCACAAAACAAAGCACAGTAAATGTAAGATACATAACTGAGGAAAACCATTATGTGTTATTACTGGTACCTTTCTCCACTTGAAGCAGCACCTTTTCTTTCTAACCTTTGCATGACACACCAGATTTTGAAATTAAATCAGCTGGGAAGGTTTAAATCTCCCCAAAACACTATGATTCCAAACCAGATGAAAGTCCTACAGACTTATAATTTTGCACTGCAGGTCCTTGGTTTCATTTCATGCCCAAATTACAGCTGACGCAAAAGATCAATGTTAAGGTCAGTGAAATGATCCTTTGCAGCTCAGCACAATACTAACTAAATATTACAAAAACATAACAAAACCAGTTACAAAAACAAAACAAAGCTTGAAAGCCAATAAAGTCTACCAGGTGGGGAACAATAATTGTCCCTGACATCCTTCTTTATTTGTAAAAGTTTATTAGATGAGGGAGAGTTTGAAGATGAATTTTCTGACTCCCTCCCCACCCAATCTGAAGTGGTACAGTCCAGAGAAAGCTTCCACACTAGAGATGGGCACAAACTGAGGGGGGGGAGCCATTCATGATGGTTCATTGTTCATAAACCATGAGCCACGAACTTTCCAATGAAACAGTTCTGTGGTCCATGCACTTTGTCTCTTCTTGGAGTGGTAGAACAGCTGCTACATGACTTAGAGACAACAAACTCACAGCAAATCTTCAGCTGACTCTCCTCCCCATCCCCTACAAGTGTGGCAAAGATCAGATCTGGGATGTCCAAGTTATAGACCTCAAAACCAGGTCCCCCCAGGAAAGCTGACTTGGAGAAAATGAAATGAGGTGTTCATGTGAAGGAAGTGGAGACAGGGTGTGGCTCATTGTAAGGTGGGCTGGGGAGGGAACAGAAAGGGAGCAAGGTGAACAGATGAGCTACTAGCTACTTAAGGGTGCTGTTCTCATGCCAGCTGCTGCAAAAGTGAAAGCACCAGCCGAAGTTCCCAGCATGTGGCTCCTATAATCAGCTACTCCCCAAGAGAAGATTTGGAGCTCCATGGTTGGCTGCTTGACCTGACAATCAACCTTACAGAACAGTTTTCTCTAGGTTCAACCCACCATTGCCTAGGGAACTGATTGAGTGGTGTCAGGCCATCCGGCCAGGGACGAGGCACTCAAAAATGAAGTGTATAATTGCCAACACTGATAATAGTTCTGGGTTTCATTTTGTTCTGAGCAGGCGTGTTTCCCCCACAGCACCATGAAACAAGCTACAAAATGGCCTACTTCATGGTTGGTTGGTTTTTTCTTTGTGGGTCATTTTGTGTCCATCTCTACTCCACATTAAATTCTGCAGATCCATCCATTACATATTTCTGGGCAGTATCCAACTGAATGTCTACAAAGTCGAAAGTTACACCAGATGTATAATGTGGGATCACATTGTTTGAGCAAGCATTGCAAAGAAACCCAAAGCTCCACTTGCACAATGGCAATTCATTCACGAGCAGAATGGTTTGTGCATTATGCAGCAATGAAATTTTCCACTCAGCAAAATTCAACAGAATATTGGCCCTGGGAAATTTGATGGTCTGCAAGGATAGGCATGTTATAGGTGGGTGTTCATGAATCATGGAGGGTTTTGCTCACAACTGCCAGAAATAAAGAAGTGGAAGGTTACATCCATACATGTACCTGCAAAATCCGTTTCTGCCACCGATAACGGTTATATTTGTAGACAACAAAGTTGACTTGTGAGCACTTAGGTAAGTCTTGGAAATCCTGCAAAAGATTAGTGTACTTCAATAAGTCATTGTGCACCTTCTGTTCATGAGACTGTAACGTCCTCTTTCATGTTTCCATGACTTCCAGAACACCTGTCATGGGATGAATTATAGCACCTTAATGGATTGAATTTTTTTGGAAATCGTGAGCACCCACAAATCCTGATGATTTGTGACTAGTGGGAGCGTGAAGTGCAAAAGAGAGAGGAAGGAAAATGTAAGCAAACCAGCCAAGACAGATAAAGGGCAATTTGGAGTACTGTGGGAACAAGAAAGGTAGCTGATATTCACAAATCAAAGTTGCCCATTTAATTCTATTTATATTTTCAATCTGAGAATCTCGACACTGTCAACAGTTCCCCCAAGAGCTATTGAAAGCTCTCCCAATTCCACAGACTGCTGTACCAGCAAATTATTGTTTAGAGCAAGGTACTGCATGACTGCTGTATCAATACAATGCCACAATTTAATGTACTGTGCTTGCAACTCAAGCTGACCCGGGGTTGCCAAACGCTAACAATAACTGTCATTGTCAAGTAGGTTACAATATGAACACAGAGAATGATTGGGGGCAGGGGGATTGGTGGAAGCAGCAAAAGAAAGAGGACCGGAAAAATAAGAAGAAAATAGCACCATAAAGAGTGAAAAAGGTAAATTAATAACACATGGTTGCTGTTTCCTAAATTACAGTAGACCCTCGACTTACAGAGAGCTCCACTTACAGACTGTTCGAGTTACAGACTTCTCTGGCTGCAAAATTTAGGTTCGACTTGAAGCCGGAGAATCGACCTACAGACCAGAAAAAAAAAACAAAATGGAACAAAAATGGCCAGTTATGGCATTAATCGGTTTTCAATGCATTGTAAGTCAATGGAGACTCGACCTACAGACTTTTCGACCTGCAGCCACCGTTCCAATATGGATTAATTCCGTAAGTAGAGGGTCCACTGTACAATGGTATCTTACTGGTGTTGGCTTGTAGCTTCTTTCCCAATAAAAATATATATTCAAACTCTGGCAAAGTAAATTTTCCGAGCTTTGGGCAGTGGGTTCAAGGCACCATTTAGGGGTGCAAGCCAGTCACCTGATATCTTTAGGGGTGCTAGATTCTTTTAAAACAATGCACACCTGAGACAGGCTGTCAGCCATGGTTCCCAGGGTGCTGGCATCTGACAAATGATTTTGCATGGTGATGCCAGATCCACAACATTCAACCTATCTAGGTTTGGCTGGTGTAGGGAAGGAGACTCCATTACTCTCCCAGGGAACACTAAAGTTCCTTTCTTCCCCCCACCCCCCAGGCTTTTGCAAAGCTTATTGGTAAAATGCTATTTCAACAAACCGCTGCTGGATGGGGGGGTTTAAGATAATTTCAAATATTGCTGGTTGTTTTGTGTGCTCTCTCTCTTTAATGAATTGATTTCCATATAAATATTAATAACTTGGCATAGATAGTGGCACTTTGACTAGATAGGACTACATGCTTAGAGCCAAAAAAAAGAAGTAGTAGCTTTAAAGTTAGAAGCAGAGCTGACTTAAGGAGAAAAGGCCATATGATTAACTTTTAACATCTTTCACAGCTTTGCAAGCTGAACGTTATCTTGGTTTTGTTTGGTGATTGTTTATTGGGGAGAACCAAAGAGTTGTTTCCATATGTTGTTTTTGTAAACACAGTGGCTTTGAAGATGTTTCTGTGGTGGTAGAACATATTTTCACTTTCTAATTGAAAGGCTGGCCATAGTTTGTTTGCAGCCTCAGAGAAGTAAATTTAAAAACTGGTTTATAGAGTCGTATAGCTTTTTGGAGTGCACAAAACATATCACTTATATTTGATCCATAAAAATTCATTTGAGCCAGAAAAAGTGTTTTAAATAAATGTAAGGAAATAAAAATAAATAAACTCTATCAGATTATAGAAAATGTGGGTAGGGTGGAGAGAGTCTTTACCACTTGAAATTCTTGCTCTATTCTTGCTTTCTCTTCTATCCATTTTTCTCTTTCTGCTAAATCCAAGGCTTCATCAATGCTCAGTTCTTTGTTTTTGACCATCCTCATAATTCTTAGGACTTTTTCTTGGCTTAGCTGTTAAAAAAAGAATTATATATATTATTTAAAACAAAAACAAAATGCAGGAGGTTTCCCCTCTGTAGCCAGCAAGTCAGGCTACAGAAGGACCCCTGACAGCTACATCTGCAGTATCAGTCGTAATATTACTATTTCATTCATATTTTATGTTTTATCGGCAACCTGCCTAGTGAATATAATCTCCCTTTGAAGCCCAGCAGGAGCCTACAAGATATCAAATATACAGGGCTTTGTACTTTTTTTGAAATACAGGGTGGTAGCATTTCGGTGCTCAGATTGCTAGGAGGTAATCTTTCTGACTTAGCTGAGCCTAGAAAGCAAGAAGTAAGGAAGGATATCAAGTCTGAATTGTATGGTGTCCTAGTCTCTCCTGTAGCACAAAGCACTACATATCAAAGAGTGAGAAGCTAAACTGGTATCATCAGATATTTAGAGGGAGCTTAGCTAGATGGTGCCAGAAAAATGCTTTCGCTCCCAGTTTGAGCAGTTCCTGAAACTGTCAGAATTTATTGCCTCTTGCATGTAAACAACAAAAGGGAAGCTGTTTTGAAGCTTAGCTGTACACATGATATATTGCTTTTAATTTAATTTGAATCCAATAAGTGCAAGCTTACATAGGGATGCTTCATGAATTCAGAGTTTGTGAATTTTTATGCAAAATGATCTGATGTCTAGACAAACCATAATAACTGGTTCTGATATCCACCAGATAAGCACTTCTCCAAATTGTGCAAGATTTTAAGAGTGTAAAAAGCATTTAACTGAATGTTAAATGCTTTTACATTTAACTGAATGTGTGTTTTCGAAAGTAAATTTTAAGGTAAGAAAGCAGGTATTTTGAGAGACAATACACATTTAAATCAATACTTGATATACATTTAGAGGTAATAAAAAATAAGTCATATTAATGGAGCAAAATTAAACAGGAATATCATATAACTTCTTACAGACAGAGTAGAATGCATTCATCCAACCCAAATATAGTTGATATCTATCTATCTATCTATCTATCTATCTATCTATCTATCTATCTATCTATCTATCTATCTATCTATCTATCTATCTATCTATCTATCTATCTATCTATCTACCTACCTACCTACCTACCTACCTACCTACCTACCTACCTACCTACCCACCTACCTATTTCTACCCTGCTTTTTTTCCTTTAGAAGGACCCAGGAAGGCTTACATCATTCAAAGACAATATTTAAAGCTAAAAACAAGAAGCACACAAATACTATGAAGGATCAAACAAATACCACCATAAAAGATGGTAAACAGAAGCAACATGAACACACAGTAACGCACAAGAATCTCTTTAAGAACGCCACCCAGGCCCACCAAATGCTCCCGTGATGGTTGTAGGACCAAGCGAAAGGCCTCTTTGGATGACCCACTCGGGCAAGTTCATGAGGGGAGACTCTATTTGATAGAGAGGGTTTGATGACTGGAACATTTGAACTGGTTTCTATGTGAGGATGACTCAAACCACATGAGCAGTGAGGGATACAGCCTTTTATAAATGTGTACATTTTTAGTCTCCTGGGCTAAGAGGGAAACATGCACTCTTTGCTTTGTGGGGTTTTTTTTAACCCCAGTTTTAATTTCATTACATTATTGGGTATAAAAATACCCATGTTGGAAGATCTGTTTCTGCATGCAGAATTAAGTCCGTTCTATACCCAGAGTCAGAAAACACAAGTGAGGGCTCGCCTAGAGTGGCGTATTTCCATGCCAAATGAGCACAAGTTGTCACAATTTTTCTTAAAGGGAACTGGTATTCACATCAACATTACGCTGTCAAAAGGCACATTTGTAGAAGTTGCCCCTCTAGGAAAGAAATCCGTACACATTGACTTCGCCACGGCAGCTCAGCCTCTGGAGCTCCCTCTCCCCAATTTTTAAAGTTATTTTTAATTGCTAATTAAAGGTATCCAGCTGGTAGCCTCTGACACTGGAATGAACTCTCCATAGGAAGTGCTGTAGCGCTAAACTCCACTGCCCAGAACAAATCCCTGAACAAGAACAATGAAAGAAAAAAATGCACAAAAGACCAAAGAAAAAAACACTTTCTTATCTGATATATCTTTGCATCATCTAGATGCAAACACCTGATTTGCTTTTTTCTTTAGTTCCCTCTTTCCTCCATCTTGAACTTTTAAATTTATTGATTTAATCATGTGATTGTTTTACGATATATTTTGATAGTTACAATGATGATTTTATATGATTATATTTTATGATGTTTTATAACTTTTTATAAGCAGAGTAGACTCTGTCTAGAGGGGCAGGTTGGAAGTCAAATAATCAATAAATAATAAATAGTGAAAACTGAAATAACCAGTGTTCAACAAGGTAGTTTTACCAGAGCAGTGTTCTGTCTTAGTGAGTCCTTAGAATTAAACATAAAATAAATGTATACTTCTGGTGCTGTCTTTTTATAAGCAGAGTAGACTCTGTCTAGAGGGGCAGGTTGGAAGTCAAATAATCAATAAATAATAAATAGTGAAAACTGAAATAACCAGTGTTCAACCAAGTACTTTTACCAGAGCAATGGTAAAATTCCATTTTATGTTTAATTCTAAGGGCTCCCAGTGAGCCCTTAGAATTAAACATAAAATAAATGTATACTTCTGGTGCTGTAAACATCTCCTGACCACATGGTGCAGTTGTTAAACTGCAGTATTGCAATCAAGACTCTGCTCACGACCTCAGTTCGATCCTGACACACTCAGGTAGCAAGCTCAAAGTTGACTCAGCCTTCCCATTCTTCCGAAGTCAGTAAAGGGAGTACCCAGCTTGCTGTGCAGGGGGAGGTGGAAGCAATGTGTAGCCTACATAATTACCGTATTTTTCCATATATAAAACTATACTTTTGTCTAAAATCTTTAGACTAAAAATTGAGGGTCATCTTATACACAGAAGTAAGCTGAGGAGAGAGAGAAAAACAAGTGGAGGGGAAAGCAAGGATCAAAGCGATCCTGCAGGGCTTTGATCCCTGTTTTCCCCTCCACTTGCTAAGCCCCACTTAGGTTTCTTAATTTTGGGTTAGAAAATTGGGGGGTCTTATACAGTGAAAAATACGGTAAATTGTGAACCACCCAGAGAGCATTTTAAGCTTTGCTTTGCTTCGACCTCAGTATATATCTATGTCCATCTCCAAGAAATTTGAATTTCCTTCAGATGTGGTCCAGACTACTGAAAAACAAAGTCTCTGCTTCGTCGTGATTTGCGCACGCACACACACCCACGCACGCACGCACACATGCGCGCGCGCACACACACACACACACACACACACACACACACACACACACACACACACACACAAATGCACAGGACAGTTTTTGCTCACCTGCATTCTGTTGGCTCAGCGAAACAAGCAACCCAATGTCCAGACTGAACCAATGGCAGGGGAATGGTTGTGTGTGTTAAGTGGTTGAAATCTGGGGATACTCTTTGCCTCCGAGAGTGGTTTAGAATGCCAAAATTGTAAGTATGGTTTTCTATAGATTCTGCATCAAATTGTGGTTCCAGGGGAGTAAGATATTCCATTGTAATCTATGAGGGCAAAATTGCTTACTTTCTCACATTCTTCTCCCACTTATTCTCTATGGGAAGATGCCATAGCAGAGCTTCTGCTTTACATGGTGGTGGGCCAGAATCTGTCCTTACCCCCTCCAATGAAAAGGCTTAGCAGGAGATATGAAAGATCGCTGCTGGTAAGTTACCATGTTCCAGAGTATACCATGGCAAGCTAGATCTGGTACAAAGCAGCTTGCTTTTTTTCCCGTTGCTCTCTCCACTAGGATGAACAAGAAATGTTGAATGAGTTGTATGGTAGTTCTGGTCTTCATAAGAATTTTAGAGCATTGATGGTTAACCTTAAGGGTAGGGTTAGAGTTTGATGCCCATGTCTTGCATTCCCTGATTCCTCTTGTTACCCACAAATGGGGTCAAGCTGTGGTAGTCCCTACATTTTCAGATGACAATGTCACAGCATGCTCACATTATAGGTCTAATTCTACATGGATTTTATAACAAAATGTGATCTGTGGCGGGAATGCCAAAAATGCTTCCTAAATTCTTCATTTTTCTTGACTGAGGCTGTCCCAAGTGAATGATATACAGTACTTCAGGGCCCACAAGATCCCTCTTATCTTGGTAAGAGGCTGAGAAGGAACACTGAGGGAGGTTCTCACATCCTTTACAGCACAACCTTCAATGAAATACCTGCATATCAAAGATGCTATCACTACACAATGTTAAACACCAACTGAATTTCTCACCAGCCCAAGATGATCTCCATATTTTCATCTCTATATTTTGATGCCATGTAAAATCTCTTTCTCTTCTGTTCTGAAGAAGTGGGGTTTTCCACAAAAGCTCACATTGAAAATAACAACAGTCTTTATGGTGTACCATGTTTTTTGTCTTTTTTATTTTTGTTATTTTTTTCCTAAATAATTGTTTTTGTTATTTTATTTTTTTTCCTAAATATTATTTCTATTTTGAACACAGCAAGCAGAAGATAACAGGTTGATTGTTTTTAAAAGATGCAAAAACAAACAAACAAACCTATCCCATGATTCTAAACCATGCAACAAAGCAACAGCCACTGTCACTTTGTGCAATCTGAGTTATTCACATCAAGATGTGTATATATTTGTTTAATATGCATACAACAATTGCTGTCTTTCCCATACTCTTCTCTTCTCAAGAGCCCTACAAAATACCTTATTCTCTCTCAGAAGGGAGAACAATTTTATGGTATCCCTTCCTTGCATTTGAAGACTGGACAAATGTGGATTTACATCCATACTCTGGGGGACTAAAATACCTTGCCCAGGTGTGCCTGGAGGCCTGAGACAGCTCTGTTTCTCCATAGTGTGAACACACCAGAAAGAGCATTAAATTGTTCCCATAACAAACAATTTCCAGAAGGACAGGAAGTGACTTAATTCTAAAATAGCATCTTTTACTTCAAAAAATTA